GTGACAGGGTACGGAGCCCCAACCCCCCTGATGGGCCCTGCTCTGTGAGTGACAGGGGGCAGCGCCCCAACACCCTACTCGGCCCTGCTCTGTGTGTGACAGGGGGGAGCTCTCCAACCCCCTGATCAGCCCTGCTCTGTGTGTGACAGGGTACGGAGCCCCAACCCCCCTGATGGGCCCTGCTCTGTGCGTGACAGGGGACAGCGCCCCAACCCCCTGATCGGCCCATGCTCTGTGCGTGACAAGGGTGGCACCAAAACCCCCTGATCCGCCCTGCTCTATGTGTGACAGGGGGTGGCGCGGCAACCTCCCCATCGACCCTGCCTTGAGTGTGACAGGGGGCGGTGCCCCAACCCCCCAATCGGCCCTGCTCTGAGCCCGACCAGGGGCTGCACCTAGGGATTGGGCCTGCCCTCTGCCACCTGGGAGCGGGCCTAAGCCAGCATGTCGTTATCTCCCGAGGGGTCCCAGACTGTGAGAGGGCACAAGTGGGGCTGAGGGACACCCCCCTGCCAGTGCACAAATTTTTGTGCACCGGGCCTCTAGTCCTATATAATAAAAGCCTAATATGCAAATTGTCCCCTTGACCAGGAGTTTAACTGGGAGTTCAACCGCTCACTATGACGTGTGCTGACCATCAGGGGGCGGCGTGGAACATGGCGGGCATTGGCAACACGGTGCTGGCAGTGGACAGCAGTTGAGGCCCTGCCAATGCTGATGGGCACTGACGAGAGTGGAACCACAACAGGATGGTGGAGCAGGTGAGCGTATGGTGCCAGACCAAGGTGGGTATGAGCGGGGGCCCAATTGCCCTGCCGATTGCCCCGCAGACGGCGATCAGCGGCGGCGGCGGGGGTTGGGGCCACTCTCTGGCTCCCAGGTGCTGAGGGAGCCAGGTGGGGGCCCGATGACTCAGGTGGAGGGGGGCGCATGGGGGCCCAGGTGCTGCCCAAGGCCCAGAGGTCAGTTGGGACCTGCCCTTCCATGCCAGACTCTAGCGCTTCAATTGCTGGCCAGGCCTAGGGACCACACGCACCCATGCACAAATTTCATGCACTGGACCTCTAGTCCTAAATAAAATGTTTCCTCAAAAATGGCAACTTTGCCCTGCCAGTGTGGCTCAATGGTTGAGCATCGACCCATGAACCAGGAGGTCATGGTTAGAATCCTGGTCAGGGCATATGCCTGGGTTGCAGGCTCAATCCCCAGTGGGGGGCATGTAGAAGGCAGCCTATCAATGATTCTCTCTCATCATTGATGCTTCTCTCTCTCTCTCCCTCTCCCTTCCTCTCTGAAATCAATAAAAATATATTTTTAAAAATTGCAACTTAGCCCTGGCTGGGTGGCTCAGTTGGTTGGAGCATCCTCCTGCACACCAAAGTGTTGTGGGCTCGATTCCAGGTCAGAGCACATACTTAGTTTAAGGGTTTGAGCCCTAGTCGGGGCACTTATGGGAGGCAACCAATCAATGTTTCTCTTTCACATAGATGTCTCTCTCTCTCTCTCTCTCTCTCTCTCTCTCTCCCCCCCCCCAAAAAAAAATCAATAAAAAGCATATCCTCGGGTGAGGATACAAAAATTGTACATTAAAGAATGATTTATACATATCACACAAACAAGAGGAAATTCACAAATTGTTAAATTTCCTCATAACTATTGAGAACTAACCATGGACTATATATTACTTTAAAGTAGCCATTAACTTTCTATACATGATACCCTTCATTTCAAATACATTGTTATTATTAGATACAGAGAACAAACTGATGGTTGCAAGTGGGGAGTTGGGTGAAAAAGGTGAAGGAATTAAGAAGTACAAATTGCAGTTACAAAATAGTCATGGGGATGTAAGTACAGCACAATAGTCAATAACACTGTAATAACATGTATAGTGTCAGGTGGGTACTAGACTTATATGGGGAGGTATCACTTCATAAGTTATATAAATGTCTAACCACTACGCTGTACACCTGAAACTAATATAATATTGAATATCAACTGTAATTGAAAATCATTAAAAACTTTAAAAAACAAATATATTGTTACTCAACTGTTTGAATATTATAATAAAACTCCAACCAGATTTATTCTGAAAATAAACAGGAAAGTCACTTAAGAGTTTCCTGCTCTCAAAATCATCTTGATCATTAAAAAGTGTGAAAACTTTAGCAACAATTCATTTTTGGCATATAAGGATGAAAAAAAAAATTCTAAAGAACCAAGAACATCTTCTTTTTGACTAGTGCTGTGAAGAAAGCCTCCAAAAGATGTTCTTACTGATCAAGTAACATGAATATTAATACTGTGCTCTAACCCTAAAGAAAAACTTCCCGGCAGATGGGAAGAAGAAAAAAGAAAAAGCCTGCATTTCATTTAAAAGTCAGTCTTCTCTCCAGGTAGGTCTCTCCATTCCTCACCCCAAGTACCTTTTTTTTTTATTAAAAAAACACACACATAAATGATGAATTTGCACATTATATTTCAAGGAACTATACTTACATTTCTTGCCTTCCTCCCGCCTCCTTTTTCTTTTTTTTCCTATGAGATTTGCTTTTTTCTTGAGTTGGATCTATGACCAAAGCAGAAAAGACTAGCAGAGGGAAAAATTCATGTGAGCCAGTGGCTTTGAAAATGGCATCAACAGAGAATCTGAAGATACAAATTAGTCTGTAAACATAAGGTGCAGATGTTGCCAGAACTTGACCAAATTTTGTGAAGTAATCACATCAAGTGGAAATACACGTGAAGATTGTGGTCTTGGATGAAGGTTAAAACCCTCTGTGAGCTCTTTAGTGCAGCACAGGAGTCACTATGTAAGCTTTAGCTAAGCAGCGAAACCCTGTGAAATAACCAGTTGCATACTGGGGCTTCCTTGGGTGGCTTGAAATCCTCCATGGCAAGTATTTACACCACGGAAATTGGTAAATGCTGCAAATCAGGTCGCCCCCCCCCCCCCCCCCCGCCTTTTTTCTTAGGGAGCTAGTTTACAATTTAACCACTGAAAACAGCTCTCCATGGGGGTTAACAAAACCCTTAGCGCCTGTGACATATTCCTATAGCTTTGGTGAGGAGGGTTTTGGAGAATAAATGATTATTCTTTCGAAAGCAGGGGACTTCTAATCCCCATCTTAGTAAGACTCAGTGTTTATTATTTCTCTTGGATTTCAAATATCTTCAAATCCTTATTAGAAAGGATTTCTCTAAAAAATGGTCCCTGCCTCACTTCTCTTCATTAAAAGCCGAAAGAAGAAAGAGGTAAAATATATACGGGACAGGAAACCTGCTTTCTAGGAAGCAGAGTGGTGTCACCTGGTAAACTGTGTGAAGTCCCTGGACATGGGTCAAAGCCATGGAGAAACCAGACCTGCCTTTTTTTTTTTTTTTTTGTGAATGACAGTGTTAAAGAATGTAACCCCTCTTAACTTCTCTACACCCCGTATATACAAATTGCTTATACTGATACAACCCTTAGTGGCAACTCACTTCACACCTCCATTTTCTCCCTCGTTATCACCAAGATTAAACAGCATGTTTAGGCAATATTCTGCATTTATCTAACCTTTTCCATACAGGCCACACTGACACAACAGACACAACACAACAGGTTTATGTACCTCACACATCGGATCCTATCAAGAAACGTGGTCGTGACAGTTTGATAAGGACACCATAGCTTATTGAACTTGTTCTAAAAACAACAGCAGCAAACCACTCATCTCCTCACACTTTTTAATGACCTTGTTCTATGATGTCCCCATTTTTAGCTGCAGCAGATGCATTGCTGTGTGGCCTCGGAGCATATCGGGAGCTGAGGGCATGTGACAATATGTTTTGATATTACACCATTAAAAATTCTAGAGAGATCCGCATTCACTTCAATTACCTGATGAGAAAAGAGGTCTAGTGTTGCCAACAGGTTCAACCAAAGTGAAAAAACGGCTTGTAAGAAAATGAGAAAAAATTTTTCCAGTTGTTGTCCTGGCTGGGTGACTCAGTTTGTTGGACTGTTGTCCCACACACCAAAAGGTTGTGGGTTTGATTCCCAGTCAGAGCACATATCTAGGTTGCAGATTCAATCCCCAGTCATCAGGGTGAATGTACAGGAGGCAACTGATCAGTGTTTCTCTCTCACATATATCTTTCTCTTCTCCCTTCCTCTCTGTAAAAAATCAATAAAATACATTTTTTTAAAAATCTCTAAAAAAATCAATAAAAAACATATTCTCAGGGGAGGATTTTTAAAAAAAAAGTTGCAGGAGTTGCTTTTCTCTGCTCTCCAGAATGTCTAGCATTGCCACAGACAATGAACAAGAATGCTAACAGACTTCACTGTTTCAGGAAAACACCATATGGCAAGACAGAAAAGAAAAATAAGCCCAAATAAATATAAAATTAGAATGAACTTAAAAAGGCTAACTTCTTACATGTTTTCATGTTTGTTTTTTGTCTTTGAACTGATTTTTTTTTTTTTTTTTTTTTTTTTTTTTTTGCAATTCATATGGCCCAAACACGCTCCTGTGACATTTCCAAAGACTTTACTATAAGCACATTTAATATCATACAGGGTGGGGCAAAAGTAGATTTACAGTTGTTTGTATGGAAAACAATACTATAATTAATAAACAATAATACAAGAATAAATTGCATTTCACATATGCACAACTGTAGACCTACCTTTGCCTCACCTTGTATTTAACAGATAATTAATTACATTCTTAAAAAATTGTTATTGCTATAATTCAGTTAAGTTCAAAGTGAATTTTATTATCATGGTGAAATTCTGCTGGTAAGATTCTAATCTCTGTGGAATTTCAGAACTTTCTGGTCTTTGTGAATAAACCAGGATAAGATGCATTTAACCAACCTGAGGGTTTAATTTATCTATTCTTGGGACAATCCCACACTGGTTACGGTGGTGGACACATGAGGAAGAATGACACGGAAACTTATAGGTACGGAAACTTGTAGGTACAAATCAAGCGGTAATACATTTCACAATGACTGACAGAGACTCAGTAAGTTTGGAAAACAAAATTTTGCTTTGTGAATACCTGTGATAACCAAGGTTACAACTTTGTGATGAGAAGACAGGACACACTTCTAAACACTGGCTTACTGTTTGGTGGCTGTGAGATTAATCACCCCACATTGAGGGGGCTGGCATGTCCTACTCCCCTGACCCTCTCCTCCTCTTTGAAACTTTCTGCTTCCTGAAGAGAACAAAGGGTTCTTGTTAGTACTGGGAGTCCTGTCTTCTCGCCTCAGGTTGTAGATATCAAAAAGAAAAAAAAATGAAATATTTCAGGCATACCAACATGTATAGAGAATACTATAATGAGGATTGAGTACCCACCCTCTACCTTAATAAATAAAACACTACAAACACAAGCAAGGCTCCCTGTATATTCCTTCTGCCTCCTCAGAGGTAATCACTATTTCCATACCTGGTTTATATTTTTGCTACACATGTGTATATCCATAAATAATATATAATGGTAGGTTGTGTGTTTTAAATTTTTATACAGATGGTCTCCTTTTTTCATATTATGTTTAAGATAAGGTAATACATGTAGCTCTGGTTTACTGATCTTCACCACTACAAAGTATTTGATAATATGGATATACAACAACTCATTTAGCAATTCTTTGGTTGATGCTTCAGTGTATACTCAGTAGGGGTCTCCTTGAGCAACGCGTGAGAATTTCTTTAAGGCACAGACCTAGGATTAGAATTTTTGAATCACGGGTAGGCACATCTTTAACGTTAGTAGGTACTGCCAATTCCAAGGATTGAATCACCTGCAGTGATTCTCTTTAACAAGCCCTCTGGGTTCAAAGTTTCGGCTTCATTCCTCTGGAAGAGGGGTGGGTGGCGGGGGAAGGGTAGTGCAGCAAGACTCTGCGTTTCTAACATGTTCCCATGTGACGTTGCTGTAGTGTAATGTCTGGGACTGTATTTTGAGAACTAGTGTTCTTAGAAAAAGCCTATTGGATGACATTTTGAGAGAGAGAGCCGATGAGACACTATCTGAAAAGATGTTGCTGGTGAGGTTTTATGAGGTAACTGAAAGTTAGTCTGTGGTATAATTTTAGCATTCCGATTCTAGGAATGAAAACCTGACTAAATATAGATAATATGTAGTAAATAACCCATGAGAAGTGATTGCCATCAAAGGCTAAATTCTCAATGAGCTGCTCTGCAAGAATGGGGCCCCTGCATGTCTCCTGCGGCTGCTGTGTGAGAAGGGCGAGTGGGCAGGTGGCCCGGGTCAGGCGGCCTGGGGTCAGGCGAGGGTGTGCCATGAGCTGGGCTGACAGTAGCCGGTGTCTCAGCTGCATCAATAGAAGCCAGGCATTAGCCTAGATGCAGGTGTGAGTATTCACGTGGGCGTTCCTCACAATTTAAGGTACGGGCTACTGAGTCCTGTTGATTTGGCTATTTTGAGATATTTATATAAAAAAAAATCAATCTTTATATTATATATATATTTTATTATATTCCAAAGTTAGTATTCTGATGACAGAATGCCAAAGAGGTTTTCCTCAAATATTCTTTTTGCAGGAATTTCTTAGAAAAAATCTAAAAAATGAAGCCTTCACATATTTTAGGGTAAAAAAGCACAAGTAGGCTTGCATGGTCTGCACATGGTTAACATGAAAACTGGAAGGAAAGTGATTTTATTTCACATTTAACAATATAAAAGGTCAATGCAGAATAAAAGTGTGTTCCAGTAACCAAGAGCATGTGTTTGTGTCAGTCCACAATTTACATAACAAGACCCTGGTTTTCAAAACCAGACTTCTTCCCATGCCTAAGTGATGCTGCTGGGAGCAATGGCTGTCATGAGGCCATGCACTGCAGGTACACTTCCACTTGTTCTGGGTGTCAGTCCTCTCCTTCTATCTTCTTTCCTTTTTCTCTCTCATCAGCTTTTTGCTTTCTTCCCTTCTTCTTTTATTCACTGGATTCCGGGGATCATAGATTTCAAACGTGTCTGAGTCCTGCATGCTCGCATCTTTCACTTTTCTGCTTTTATCCTCAAACTGAAGTACATGTGACATCCTAAAGAGGGAGAGAGATGGTTCAGTGATTGTGGCGTGGAAACTGAAAGGAGAAATTCTATACTTCCCCATCCTTGGCAAAATGAACTATAAGGGTACCGAACACAAAGATGGGTTTATTGTTTATTGGTGCTTGTGCCACACGGAAACCAACTTCTCAGAAAACACTTGAATTTGAAAACCATGTGTGGAGTTTGTTCTGCTAGCTTGTATTTCTAGTAGTGAGTGTCGTTGCCTCAGTTTTCACTTGAGGTTCTTTTCCTGATGGGAGGTTAAAAGACTTCTACACACAGTGTTCCTTAAACTAAACTCCCAGAACATTCTGCCAGCTGCCTTTAAAGAGCCTACTTTCTTAGCTAGAGACAGCCTGGCTGCAGAGCAAAACTCCTGCAATAAGCTACTCCTATCTGATTTCTGTTTCATTTTGTTTTGAGTATTTAAATGGATCAAGAGTAGGTAATGTGTTAAGAAAATTCTTGTTCAAATGGTATTATGACTCCCTTTTCTGTGGAGTTGCTGAGTTAAAGAAATATACATATTTTTCATACAAATGGAAACTAAGCTTTTGGCAGAGCTCCGTGGACTAATTTCCTCCTCCTCCTATTGATTACAACAAATCTAACCACCCCGCTTTCCTACTTTATCAAATGCTTACTGGTCTTAAGGTATCAACATGTGCTTGACTCATAAGTGGTCATAAGCTGGCTATCCTTAGCAGCAGGGGAACATGTAAGCGATTAGCGCTGTCCCCATTAGGAGGTGTCAGGAATAAACGGGGAAGTCAAAAGACTAGGTTTCAGGGCAGTTGAAGGAATTTGGAAAGAGGAAAGTTCAATTTTTATATACAAACAAAACTACTAAGGCTTTCCCATTAGTTAGTTCAGCAATTTTTAAAATAGGCAGACAAAGCATTTTCCTTTATCACAGAAGATAGGGCCAAATTGCCTTTAGGATTAACACTCCGCATACACCAGCTGTAACATTCAGATGAAACCCAAATATTACATTAGCTCCTTTTCCCCTGCAGTAGCACAAACGCTGAGTGAAGTTTATTTATGTGACAAACTCCTAAGGATATACCCAGATTTTAAAGAGTCCTAAAAAGATTTTGGGAGGAAAGTAAAATGTTACAGTCGTAGTGATGCTACAATTACTCAGGATTCAGTAGCTACAGTTCACCAGGGCTGACATGTGTGGTCTTACTACCATTCCCACCCCTTTCCACCCAGATAGATAAAGCTGATTGGAACGCAGGTGAGGATGAGTGATAATAATGACTTAGAGTTTCCTTTAACTTCCTGAGGTAACTCACATTTCTACAATTTATTATTAAAATACATGATTTGCATCAAATTCATAACTGATCTCAATAATATAGGGTGTCCCAAAAATGTACACATACTTTGAATAATTATAAAGGCAGTGTTTATTAAAATACATTCCATTTTCAAAACTGAGTTATCAGCTGTTAAAGTGCATACATTTTGGGGGGCACTCTGTATATGAACATGCCATCTCACATGTGAGAACTCCGGAGTTTTAATCCTTCCTGTTGCTTTAGTAAGCACCTGATTTAGAAAAATGCATCATAGGGTCATTGCTTATTTAGAGGGATTCCTCAGAGTCCTTCAATTTCTTGTGCCTTCAATTTCTTACAGTTTAAGCATTAGCTTATGAGAATAAAACAATCTCCAACTCCTAGAAAAAGGCTGGTTGTTCCACAGTGACCACTAGAACGGATTTGAAACATAATTACACCAGATTTAATCAATTAATGATGACTTGCCTAGGCCTAAATGCACCTCAGTAAATACTTCAGTAACCTCACCTCCGAAAGCCAACTAATCAGTGGCAGCCTAGTGCTTCTGAAAGCTGGCCAATCAGTGACGGACTCACTCCAGTGAACATGCTTTAGAAAGCCAGCCAATCACGGACAACCTCTCCTGAATAAAGAGCTTCCGAGGCTGATGTCCACTCCTAAACAATCCCCAACCCAAAAATCTATATAAGGATTTGCAACCAGCTTTGCTCAGAGACTGTGCCTCAAAGCACAGCTCTTTCTTACTTCAGTAAGTAGTAAACTCAGCCTTTTGTTTCACATATTAAGAGGGGGTCTTTTCTTCTGATACTTCTTACAATCTGTGCTGCACTCCCCACAAAGCGCACTGTCTAGAAATTGTGAGTGTGTTACCACTGTTGAGGACCAGGTTTAGGAGAGTGGCCAGACGGTCCTATTAAAAGTCCCTGACTACGCGTCTGGGGAGCCCACCCCACACTGCATTTCCGGAAGTGGTGAGCGCTTTCCAAGTGACTCTTGTGCAGACGCCTAAGCCAACACCAGGAAGTAGCTGGAATCATATGCCCTTTAAAATATTTTATTCAATACTCCTATATTGATATAAAACACCAAAAGCCACCGTCTTAGTTAACTTATTAATACCTCTCCATATATGCATTCTTCTATTTAAAAAAATTATCGCTTTTTCTGCTCCCCAATACATATGGGTTTTGTGTAATATCCACTTCTAGTAGGGACTGTCCTTGTTTCAAATATGACTTTGCCAGAATTTGTCAACTAAAACCATAATAAGGCACCTTTCTATGCCATGAGAGAATCATGCAACTATTGGACTGCGTTGGCCCTGGTCTAAGAAATGACCTCTAGACATGAGAACACAGCACAAAGCCCAGACAGAGAAACAGATTTGCCTACAAACCTGGAAAAACAGAAAGCCGTAAATTAAAGTAGCTGTCTTTTTCGACTGTTTGTTTCAGACACCACTGCACTAAACAGGTCCAACGTTTTGATTAATAACAAACCTAAACCCAGAGGAAAGAAGGGGCTATCGGCTTACACACTACTTCAGCTTTAATATCATAATACTTATTAGCAGGGCTGGTTACTCAGCAATAATATTTAATCTTTAATAGAAATAAAAGCATAATCAAAATGTTTCACCCATTTATCTTTCAACATGCTTCAATCACTTCATTTTCGAGAGCAAACAAAACAGTTATTATGATTTTCAGCATAATAAACTTCTGACCTATGTGCCTCCATAAATCACAGACTGCACGGATTGAAAGCATGCCCACATTTTACAGCCTCCGGTGAGAATACACATGCAGACTTATAATGCAGACCCAATTTCAGTGCATAGGGTCTGGTAGTTTACAGTCTTGTATGTATCGACAACTCAATACTATCCACTCTGTGGCTGGTCATGGCATTGGCCCAACAAGAGCAGTGAGTTTATTGGAATTACACACTGATCATTTACATGTGAAAATTTTAAAACTTGTTCACTTGAAGGCAAAGACAGAAATTTAGTTCTTATTAGTAAAAAGTTTTGCATAAGCTCAGATTCTCAATAAGAACACTGACTTGAGTGTGTAATAGAAACATGGAGGGTTACCATTGTCACAGAGGCTGTGTTGGACAGGTAAGTTTTTTGGTCAGAGGCTGTGTGGGCTTACAGACAAAAAGTAAACAGCTGATTCTCTTAAAAGAACCCGGACCTTGACTAACCTCACTAATTTGACAACCAGTTTTTAAACTTCTCACATAGTTGTGAAATAGATTAAGATATGACAGCAATTAATAATGGGACATGCATTCTCAGATATATAGTAAATCATTCAAAATATAATTCCAATATTAACAATTCACTTCTGACTGAGATGTATTTAAATTATTTATGCTTCTATAATTAAAACGGCTATGTTTTTCACTGGGAAGTCTATAAACCACTCCTTCCCATTTCCAAGTCTCCCTAATTTAGGAACTTAGCACCCAACCCTTAGAGTGTTATAGGTGTCCTAACTGTTCTGCATCTGCACTATTTCTCCTTTTTATAATCTTCCAAAGGTTCCAAAGTAACCTTTCTTACACGTTTCTTTTACAGTGTTCTTTTGAGCAGGAACTATCAGCTATTGTATTGACTGAAATCTCAGCCTGACCCTTAAAACCCTCTAACAATGGGATCTTCCTATCTCACCAACCTCTTTTCCTTTCTTTCATCAGCTCTCACCTTCTGTAATTGCCTGTTTACTTAATTTTGAACAGACTGTCAGTTATTCGAGACACTCTGAGCCTTGTTCACAGCTGTATTCCCAGGGCCAAGAATGGTGATTGGTGTGAATCAAAGCCTTCAGAACCTTTGTGTCGGCCAGGCCTGCTGGCTGGTACTTGCTGGTTTGCTAAACTAACACTTGACCCTGCTTTTGTGGGCAGAGACTGTCTTTTATTTCTCTGATACACTTCTAGAATGACTCACAGGCTCTGCAGAAAGTCCCATGCTCAGCACAAGCCCACCTTTCCATGACTTAATCCCGGCTCAGCACACAGACTGCTGCTTTCCCACTGCACCCCATCAGTGAGTGCTAGTTTTTATTCCCCGAAGACTACAGTGGGAGCTGGTCTTAAGTCTTTTCCATTTCCTAGGGCACTAATGTAGAACTACGTAGGCAATTTCTTTAAAGCAATGTTTCCCAAAGTCTAATCTTAGAGCCCTCCCTACCTCAACGCAGGTTGTACATTGGAATCAACTGGGTGCCAGGCCTGGCCTTCACCTCCAGAGGTACTGAATCAATTGTCGTGGTTGGGATGGGGACCCAGCATCAGGAATTGAAAATGTTTTCCTGGTGATTTTAAAATACAGCCGAAGTTAAGATTGCAGCACTAGGGTTTAAGAAAGAACCTTTACACTTTCAGCCCAGCTGGCATGGCTCAATGGTTGAGTGTTGACCTATAAACCAGGAGGTCACAGTTTGATTCCTCACCAGGGTGCATGCCTGGGTTGCAGGCTCAATCCCCAGTGTGGGCGTGCAGGAGGCAGCTAATCAACTAATCAATTAGCTAATCAGCTAATCAATGATTCTCTCTCATCATTGATGTTTCTCTCTTTCTTTCCCTTCCTCTCTGAAATTAATAATATATATATATTAAAAACTTGGTGATAATTTAACAAATATATCAAGAACTATTATACTTTCAGATTG